GGGTGGAGAGGGAGATGGGAGGTGGATAGATAAGTGAGAGGAGAGAGAGACAGAGATGAGAGGAGAGAGAGACAGAGATGAGAGGAGAGAGAGACAGAGATGAGAGGGGAGAGAGAGAAGAAAGAGAGAACAGAGCCTTGGTGAGACATCAGCTTTTAGCAGAGACCTGTCTGCGGCCAAGCTTTCCTGACCAGTTGGTAAAGACAGGCTCAACAATGCACAAAAGGAGAAAATGCATTAAACCTTCAGGATTACATTCTCTGTGGCAGGCGCAGTTACATCATAGCTCTGGGATGCATCACCCATGCCAGAGCTACATCACATGGCGAACAGCATGCTGGCACAGAATGAGTAACCCAAATCCTCTGAAATGCCAGGAAGTCAGGCACAGCTAAGGCCACCAACACTCAGCCCCGTCCCTCAATGGGACCAGACGGAGCTGTCAGTCTCCAGCCTGGAATCGTTCCCAGTGCTCCCCTCTGAGGAACGGAGTAAGCATCCCGGAACATCCTGCATCCTTGGTTATGCAAACACTTCACTCTGCAGCTTTTAAGGTCATAAAGTTTGCTCTCTTTTCCACTTCTTTCCCACTGCCATTTTGGCACTGGGAAGAATGAGGAAGGTTCAGCACATCAGGAAACTTGATGTTGAAGAAACATGGTCCTGGCAGTCAGGAGTTGAAGGGCTTGGATTTGAGAACTGTGTTTCTTGCTTTGCCACTGAATACTGTGTAACTAGGCAAGTAATCCAAGTCTGCTCCCTGCAAAGCATAGATGAAACTTCTCCCATGCATCACAGGAGTGGTGCACGGCTTTAATAAAGATTGAGCCATGCTTTGCAGCACAGACAGGAAGTATAGATGTTGGTGAGATAAACAAAAGCACCTGTTTTATGACTACTGAACATGGTGTTTGCAAACAGAGGGAGAACAATTATTATTTTACTATACTCAACTCTGTTTGAACAAAATGTCAGCCAACAAAAATTTCTGGCAGGGATTTTTTAACCTGTGTCCTACTTCTTTACAAATAATCAATATTTCTGCTGCTGAACACTGAATTAGCAAACCACGAATTACTCACCTGACTACAGCAACAAAGCAAAAGCTTTGAAGCATATTTACACTAGAGCAAACCTCAGCAGCTCCAAGAGTTTCTACCATCCCTGAGTTATTTCCCAGGTGAAGTCTGCAGTAAAGATAACATTTAGCAGCTGTTTAATGAAGTGTTAATTATTAGAGTTTCACATTCTTATTTCCCTTCTCATTATTTACCTTTGTGAAGAAGCAGTAACTGCCCTCAAAGAAGCACCACGTTATTCCTCTTGTTTATTTTGAGTGGCAATGTAGGCTGGTACATTCCAGAAAAACACAGAGACAAATGCTCTACTTGGTCGCCGTAAAATATTTTAGCTATTCAATTTAGTTCCCATTTTGATTGTTCTGCGCGCTACTCTGTAAATATAGGACCAGCAGGAAACCGTCTGGTATGCAAACCCCAGCTCTTCCAAACTCTATGACACTGATTTGGTGATTTCAGAGATAACTTGTTCTACCTGGATGCCAGGGGAACAACTGTTCTTCCAAACAGTAAGAAAAAAAAGTCTCAGGTGTCCATTTTCTCCTCAAGTGCACACACTTCGTATTTACCTTTTGCTTTGAAGGAAAGACTCTTAAAATACTTAATCACATTTGTGGTTTGGCACCAGATGATGGCTATAAATCCATCCTAATTGCACTGCATATTAATGCCAAAAGGTTAACTGTACGGTCTGTGACTGTCAAGGAGTCACTTGCAACATGAATCAGCAGCACTGGGTCAGCTGGAAGGTCACAAGGGCACAGATTATGATAAGCTGTTTCCCGCAACACAAAGGCCGTCAACTCTATTATTCCAGTTGTGAACAGTACGTTAACAATACTGGTACATTCATAACTCACAGATCCAGTACGTGAGCTCTGCCATGCTGCCTGGAAGGACCCACACCACAAGGTTATAAATTTAGCATGAGTGGTGTCAACCCATACCAGAAAGGAGAGAAAATAGCTTTATGGACTATCGGAAATCCCTGCCTGCCTAAGATTGCCCACGACCACCGTGAGACCCTGAAGTTCAGGTCACAGTGAACAAAGTGCTAGTGATTTAATAAAAGCTCCCATGCCCTTTTCCACCCAAATTAAAAGCTGCAGTTCCTAGCTTTTTTTTCTCTCTCCCCCTCTGTGATTGATTATCTGATAATGGTCTGGAATTATTGAATATTTCTGTTCCTTAGCACATCCTCTTTCCC